TGATTCCAGCACATTATAAAATACCCCACAACTTCATCTCTTGTCACTGTCATCAAGGAGCCAGTGCTGAGTGAGAATGGGGTGGATCACTGCTAATGGTGACCTGGGGGTCCTATTAGAAGGTGCCACTTTGCTCTTTAGCTAAGGGATTTCATATTACCAACCAAATATTCTTGTTCAGGCAGTTGATTAGTGTTGCCAGCTCTGCAGGCAGTGTGTTTAAAATTAAGGGAAAAAAAATCGAGGTTTTGCAAGGACAAGGTGAATCTCCATTCAATTGTAGGTTATTGCAGGGAATTTTCCCGACAAGACAAAATTCTGTGAATATAAAACCTATTCTGAAACTGTATTGATGAGTGCTATGGCAGGAGTTGTGGATGAATGAAAATTTAGGTCTCCAGAAATGATAAGAGAAGATAAGACTATAAAAAGAGTCCTAGAGAGCTTCCAGCTTTCTGTCATGACTGGAATTTCTTAAGCTTAAGAAAAACAACTTGTGTTTTTAGTGACTCTGAGAGAGGCTCTTATTGCCATATAGCTGAGCAAATAAAGGGATGCCATTTCTGGGTGTAGAAAAGCACTGCCCAGGGAAAATGCAATTTTTCTTAACAAGAATTTAAAAAAAAACAGAAATATATGAAATGATCTATCTTTAGGGAAGCAATCAAGGAATCAAACATTCAATGGGATGGACCGAGAGTAAAGTGTCTGTCCTTTGTGTTAGGGTAGGTGCTCTGGAGAATTCAAAGACAAGTAATAAAGTCTCTCAGGCCAAGGAAGCTGAGGCCCATGGAAAACTCAGGCTTCTCAGCTTTAGGAAACCTCAGAGACTTCTGTCAACAGAATGAGGTCCTGACATCTTTGCCAGCTGTGTGAGGCTTTATGATCTGCCCACCCACACCCTAAATGACAATGTACTTCCCCTACACATCTTCCTTCTTTTTTTTAATCATTGTAAAAATATATTTCACATAAATTTTGCCATTGTAACCTTTTTTTGAGTCTACAATTCAGTGGCACTAATTATATTCATAATATTGTGGATCATCGCCACAAGTTTGAAAACTTGTCATCACCCTAAACAGAAACTCAATAGCCATTAAATAGTAACTCCTATTCTCTCCCTCCTCCTTGGCCCCTGGTAGTATCTAATCTACTTTCTGTTTCTAGAAGTTTGCATATACTAGATATGGCTGAATAACATGAATAGCATTGCATTGTGTTATATGACATCTTTTTTTTTTTTTAACCCATTCATCTGATGATGGTCATGAGGATTGTTTCCAACTTTTGTCTATTGTGAATAGTGCTGCCGTGATCACTGGTGTACAAGAATTGGTTCTTGGTGGGCCATGTGGTAATTCTATGTTTGGCTTTTTGAAGAACTGCCAGATTGTTTTTCCACAGCAGTTGGAACAATTTTTACATTTCCATCAGCAATGTGTGAGGGTTCCAATTTCTACAAATTCTCATTAACACTCATTTTTTTCTTTTACAAATTACAGTGGTTCCACTTTATCCATAAGACATATGTGCCAAGAACCCCAGTGAATGCCTAAAAATGCAGATAGTGCTGAGTCCTATACAATATTCCCTCCTTTTCCCATTATCTGTGGTTTTGTGTGTGGCTTCTGTAATCCACGGTCAACCAGGGTCCAAAAATATTAATGGAAAATTCCAGAAATAAACAATTTATAAGTTTTAAATTGCATTGCTGTTCTGAGTAGTGTGATAAAATCTCTAGCCATTCTCCATTCTGTCTGGAATGTGTTCATCCTTTTGCCTGATGTAGCCACACTTTTTCTGCTTCCCGCCCTGGTTACTTACTAGCCATCTCAGCTTTCAGATCAGCTATCACAGTGTCTTAAGGCTTACGTGAACACAAGCGCTATGTAGTAGTCTGATGCTACACCCAAACCTACATCACTCACCTTACTTCATACCAACATGTAGGCATTGTTTGACTTCACATCATCACAAGAAGGGAGTGGAAGTACAATAAGATATTTCAGGGGCAGAGAGAGAACACATTCACAGTTTTTATAACAGTCATTGTTCTAATTTTATTATTGTTTTCAATCTCTTATTGTGCCTGATTTATAAACTAAATTTTATCACAGCCTTGTATGTATAGGGAAAATAGAACCCTTACTGGACTTCTATTTAACAGTGCCTTTTGAAAAGCACGAATTCATAATTTTGATAAAGTCCCATTAATATAAAACTTTCCTTTCAGGAATCATGCTTTTAGGATTGTATCTAAGAAAACTTTGCCTAACCCAAAGTTCCAGAGGTTTTTCCTGTGTTTTCTTCTAGAAGTTTTATACTTACAAACTTTACATATAGGCCTACAATCTATTTGTGTTAACTTTTGAATATAATTAATGAGTATATCAGAGTAAAATTTCTTTTGTATATGGATGCTTAATTGTTATAGTACAATTTCTGGAAAAGATTCCCCTTTCTTCACTGAATCACCATTGAACTTTTATTGGAAATCAATTGGCCATGACTGTGTTGGTCTATTTCTGGATTCTCCATTGATGAATTTGATTATCTTGTTGTAGTACCACACTATTTTGATTATTGTAGCTTTATACAATAGGAGCTCTAGATAAGTCTTGAAGCGACATAATGTATATTTTCCAACTTTGTTCTTTTTTAAGTTGCTTAGGGTATTTTAGGTCCTTTGCATTACTATATAAATTTTAGCATCAGTTTGCTAATGTATACACAAAAGATTGCAGGGATTTGTACAAGACATTCTTACGAAAAACTAAAAAATACACAAATAATATAGATACATACAGTGTTTGTGGAACCTATATTATTAAAATGTGAATTTCTTTCACTAACCCATACATACCTACAGTCCCTACTTGAAAGGTGTCTACACTCTAATTTCTGGTGTTGATGCCTGGGTATATTTGTGACATGTCAAAGGGACTTTGTAAGTAAAATTAATGTTATAATCCTTAATAGAGGTAGATATTCCTGGATTGCTTAAACAGGCATAATATAATCATATGGACCCTTAAAAATGGAAGAGGAAAATGGAAGAAGGGTCAGTGGGGGAGATGTGTCAGAAGAGGCAGAAAAGGTCTGAAGTGTGAGAGGGACTTGACTCACCGTTGCTTGGAAGATGGAGCCAGGAAATGTAGGTGACCTCTGGAAGCTGAGAACAGCTCTTGGATGATAGCCAGTAAGGCAGTAGGGACCTCATTCTTATAGCTATGAGGAATTGAATTATAGCAACAGCCTGAATAAGCAAGGAAACAATTCTCTTCCATAGTCTCTAGAAAGGAATGCAGCCAACATCTTGGCTTTGGCTTTATGAGACATACGTGGTGGTTCATCTTATCTATAGGTAGTGGTTTCATCAGGACACTTTGCTTTTGGTAAAAAGCATCTGCAAAATGTCTAGAGGCAGGAACGTGTTCAAAGGATCCTTTGTAAAACGCCACAAGGTTTCAGATAGAACAAAATTAAGCTACAAAATTAAGATATTTCAGGGGCAGAGAGAGAACACATTCACACCCTGCTACAAACCCATTCTACTTATAGCCTATGAAAACTGTGATATAATGAATAGATGCTGTGTTAAGCTACCATGTTTGAGTGTTATGTCAGTTGAAGAAAATGAATACATTTTTGTATCTACAGAAACTATAGTCATGATATCAATCTTATTCTTGATATCAGCAATTTTGTCTTCTTGCTTTTTAACCTATTCATATTGGTTAAGTTTATTAGTGTTATTTATTAAAAAAACAACAACAACCAGATTTTGGTATCACCAATATTTTTGTTTTCTATTTCATTGATTCATGTTTCAATCTTTGTAATTTCTTTTCTTTTGTTTATTTTGGGTTTCGCAATTGGCTCTGCTAGCAAGTGAGTAGACTTTTTGGACAAAAACTTCATGAAAGAAAATATATAGATGGCAAATAAGTACACATAAAGATGAATCAATAGGTAAATGTAATTTGAAACCACAATAAGATATCCATCTCCCACCCATTGGAATGTCTAAAATCAGAAAGACTGACCAATTCTCAGTGAAGATGTGGAGGAACTGGAATCCTTTTGGAAAACAGTTTTTCCACTTTTTAAAACATAAGTATTCCACACAGCACTCCTTAATATTAACCTCTCATATGATCTAACCATCCCATTCCAAGATATTTACCCAAGAGAATGGAAAGCATGTGTATATACAAGGAATTATATATGATTGTTCATAGCACACTCATTTGTAATAGTTGAACACTAGAAACAAGCCAAAGGTCCATCAAAGGGTGAATGGTACAATGTGTCATAGCCATATCATGGTGTACTACTAATAGTGACAAAGAATGAACTATTTTTTTTTAAAGAAAGAGTGAGAGAGACAGAGAGAGAGAGAATTTTAACATTTATTTTTTAGTTTTCGGCGGACACAACATCTTTGTTTGCATGTGGTGCTGAGGATCGAACCTGGGCCGCAGGCATGCCAGGCAAGCGCGCTACTGCTTGAGCCACATCCCCAGCCCAAGAATGAACTATTGATCCACAAACCAAAACCAATGAATCTTAAAATAATTATGCTGACTATTGATTTTCTAGCTACATGATCTGTCCTTTGAGAAACAGAGCAAAATATATGTACTGTATGATTAATAGGGAGTCTATATTTATATAAAATATAGAAAATGTAAATTAAACTATAGTGAAAGAAGAGATGAATAGTTTACTAAGAGTGTGTGGGGGGTGATAGGAGGAGCTAGAGGGGTAGAGAGCATGGGTATGCATGAACCTTGAGCAGCAAGAATATGTGCATTTGTCTTTATTATAGTGTTGGTTTCATGAATCTACACTTAAGTCAAAATAGCAATTATTCATTTTAAATACGTGCAGTCTGCCACATATCAGTTATCCTCAATAAGGGATAAATCAGGGGAGAATAATTAATTAGTCTATTAACAATTGAACATATATATCTCCATTTTCTTATTTTTCAGGATGGATTGCTATTCTGGGTGCCATCTGGTTGCTAATTTTAGCTGATATCCATGATTTTGAGATAATTCTACACAGAGTGGAATGGGCAACCCTTCTGTTCTTTGCTGCACTCTTCGTATTGATGGAGGTAAGACTTTTGTTATCTTTTATCTGCTTTTAAAATTTCATATTTTATTCAGTAAACGATGAAAGCCTAAGTCTATAAGTCTTTCTACATATTACTATGTAGAAAATTATGGAAAATTGTAATTGGATTATTTTAAGTTAACCAACTTTTACCTAAGCCATCTAAATGTTTTTGTTGAAATTATTAGGTTGCTATTGTTTTTTTTTTCTTTTCTTTTTTGTGTTTTGCACAACCTCTTTGTGGCTTGGAAACTACTTCTAATTTCATTTGCTATAAAGGAGAATGAACCTGAAGTGTTTAAGGAGGTGGAAATGCTGACTATATTGATTTGAACAGTACACATTGTGTAGGTATAGGTCTATAAAATCATCTCACCATTCCCCATAAAATATACAATTATTATATGTCAAGAAAAGTAGAATTTGCTCAAAATAGGGTTTGGAGAAAAATGACTTGTGACAAGAAGTTTACAGGGTAACATTACCTTGATAACCGAGTTCAGTTTGTGTTATATTTGAATACTTCTGTGTTGTAATGGAAAAGAGTGAACAATAGGTGTTGTTTTTATCTATATAATCTATCTATTTATTTTATTTTTTAGTAGTAGTTGGACACAATACCTTTATTTTATTTATTTACTTTTATGTGCTAAAGACCAAACCCAGGGCCTCGCACATGATAGACAAGTGCTCTATAGCTGAGCCATAACCCCATTGTTTCAGTTACAATTCTAATTGTAGAATTATTCACAACACATTTTAATCCTGAGATTATTTATGAACTTGTGTCTTCCTCAGACTCAAAGGTTGACTAACATAGAAAAATGCTACTCCGCAGGCAATTCCCTCTCTAACACTGCTTTTTTGCATTAAATTTAGCATATATTTATACTTTCATTTTCATTCAGTGAACATGAAAAATTATTTTCTAATTTTCCATGTAATTTATTTTTGTTTTATGGGTTATTTAAAAGTATATTTTAAAAGTTCCAAATCTTAGGGTTCATCTATGTTTCTTTCTGTTTTTGACTTTTGGTTTAATTCAGTTGTGGTCACAGGGCACACTTTGCATGGTTTCAATCCTTTCAAATTTTATTGAGACTTGTTGTGTGGTCACTATTGTGCTGGTCTGTTTTCTTCTGCTTGAAGAATATGTGTGTTCTACTATTGTGTGCTGGAATGTTCTATAAATGCCCCATATGTCATGCTTGTTAACATTTTTGCTGAAGTCTCCTATAGATTACTGATATTCTGGTAACTGTCCTAAAAGTGAGATATCATAGTCTCCAACTAGTATAGCTGAATTATATGTTCTTCCTTTTGTTCGGTGATAGACTTTTATAATTATTATATCATTTGAACTTTTGTCATTATCAAATATCCCTCTTTTTCTCTGGTAATAATGTTGTCTTAGTGTATTTTGTCTGATATTAATATAGCCATCTCCACTCATTTTTTATTACTCTTTGAATGGATTATCATTTTTAAAAAATCCAATCTGACAATTTCTCCCTTTTGATTGGGAAATGTGTACTCCATTTCATTTAATAAAACTATTGTTTTTGGGCTGGGACTGGGGTTCAGTGAATGCTCACCTGGCACATGTAAGGCACTGGATTTGCTTCTCAGCACCACATAAAAACAAAATAAAGGTATTGTGTCCACCTACAACTAAATCATACATTTTTTAAAAAAAGATATGAGAAGTCAATTAAAAAAATTATTGTTATTGTTGGGTTAATGTATGCTCTTTTGATATTTTCATTGTCTCATATCTTTTTTTGTTCTGCTCTTTCTCCTTCATTTCTTTATTTTATGTGAATATTATCTTGTGTACTATTTTAATTCTTGTCTTTGTTTATTTTTTTAAAACCGTATATTTGAATTATTTTTTAACTGCTCTAGAGGTTAAGTTATACATCTTGATTTATTTTATATATATATATATATATATATATATATATATATATATATATATATATATATAACAAATATATCTATATTGGAATAATACTAACTTCTGGCAAAATACAGAAATCTTGCCCATATTTCCATTTTGTCCTCCTTCCTTTGTGCCATTATTGTTCCATGTCCTATCTTTATGTTATATGCCTAATGTGCAGTTTTGTCATTATTTTATGCAATGTATTTTAAGTCAATTAAGAGAAAATATATAATTTTATCTCCTATATATCTATCTATCCTCAATACTTACCTTCTCCAGAACTCTTTACTGCCTTATATGGATTTAAGCTGTTATATGGTGACACCCTGAGGGATTCTTTCAATATATCTGGTAAAGCGGGTCTGCTAGCTGCAAATTCTCTTTATTTATACACAAATGTCTTTATTTTGCTTTAATTGTCAAAGTGTTGTATTGCTTGATCTCTGCAGAATTCTTGGTCGTTTCCTTTAGGCAGTCCAAGCTATCATCCCACTGCCTGCATTCTCCATTTTTTCTTATGGGAAGACAGCTCTTAACAATATTGTTTATCCCTTGTGCATATCAAGTAACTTTTCTGTTGCTGCTTTTGAGGTGTCGTTTCATATTTCAGTAATTTGATTATGTTGCAGCAAGGAGTGGATCTCTTTGTGTTTATTCTGCTTGTCATTTTTTTCTTTTCAGCTTTTCAGATCTCTAATATTTTTAATCAAATGTGGATATTTGGATAGTCTTGGGTTATTAATTTTTTATTCATGTTTCCTTTCTTCCCTTAATTTTTTTCTTCTCTCTGAAGCTCTCATTATAAACAGGTTGATTTTCTAGATTGTATCCTATATTTTTTTAATATTTTATTTTTCTTCATTCTTTTTTCTCAGTGTTCTTCAGATTAGACACTTTCTATTGATCTATTTCATTTTGAGTAAGTCTTTTTACATCATCTCAAATCTGTTATTGGGAATCTCTTAGTAGTTTTTCATTTCATTCATATTTTTAAATCTTCAAGTGACCATTCTGTTCTCTTAAAAATAATCTTTATCCTTTTATGATAGTCTCTGTTTAATGCACTGCTGTTATTAGTTTTCAATTCTTTAGGCATGATTTAACTTAGTTCTATGAGCATATTCAAAATTTGTTTTGAAATTTTACTAAGTTCAATATCTGGGTCTCTCAATGACAGTTTCTACCCTAGAGTATGGGTTACTATCTTCCTCCTTTTCATATATTGTAATTGTTGTCAAAAAACTAGAAATTTTAATCAGGTACTTTAGCAACTCTGGATGCTGATTAATCTTCCTGAAGGATTGTTGTTGATTCCATTTACATGAATCACTATGAAGTGCTTTTTGCTTCTAAACAATTGTTATTGTTGGGTTAATGTATGTTATATTTGTATGGCCACTGTAGGTTTTTTTATTTTTTAACTGTTTGTGCAATATATCTAACCTAACCTGATAGCAATGATCTCATATAGTTGAATTACATTTTTAAAAAACCCATTCACCAAATATCTTCTTTTTATTTGATATATTTATTCAATTTATGTTTGATATAAATACTGAGAAGGTGGTATTTATAGTCAACATTTTTCTATTTTTTAAAAATATTTTTTAGTTGTTGGTGGACCTTTATTTTATTTATTTTTATGTGGTGCTGAGAATCAAATTCAGTGTCTCACACATGCCAGGCAAGTGCTCGTATCACTGAGCCACAACCCCGGCCCAACATTTTTCTATTTTTTAAAAACGTTTATATTTATATATTTCCCTGATCTATTAAGGTGTTTGTTCATATCACACACAACTTTTAGGTTCCACTAATTCCCAGCTGATTTATTTTATTTTATTTATTTATTTCTTTTGTGGTGCTGGGGACTGAACCCAGGGTCTGTGCATGTAAGACAAGCATTCTACCAACTGAACTAGAGCCCAACTGATTTATTTTTAAGAGTTAATTTTGTTTTTATTTTTTTGAACAGTTTTTGGTTCACAGCAAAATGATGAGGGAGCTATGGAGATTTCCTGTGTGTTCCCAACCTCCTCACCTGCACAGATGCACAGCCTCTCCTGTTATCAATGTTCCTCACTATTTGGTACATTTCTCACAATTGAACCTACATGGATGTCATCACCCAAAGTCCATAGTTTATATTAGGATTTACTCTTGGCATTGTACATTCTGTGGTTTTAGACAAAGGCATAATGATACATATCAACTTGTGTTAAATTTATTCATCCACCTTCAACACCTAATAACTACTGATCTTTTTATCATATCCATAGTTTTGGGCCAAAATATCCTAGAATTGGAATTATATAGTCTGTAACTTTTTCACATTGTTTTCTTTCCTTTAACAATATGCATTTGAGTTTCCTCCATGTCTTCTCATGGTTGATAGCTCATTTCTTTTTAACATTGAGTCGTAGTCCATTGTTTGATGACCACAGTTCATTTATCCATTTACCTTTGGGGACTTCTTGGCTGCTTCCAAGTTTTGGCAATTATAAATAAAGCTGCTGTAAACCTCCTCATGCAAGTTTTTGTATGAATGTTAAGTTTTCAGTTCTTTTGAGTAAATATGAAGGACCACAATTAATGGATCATATGGTAAGAGTGTTTAATCTCTTCAAATGGCTATACCATTTAGCATTCCCACTAGCAATGAATGAGGAGAATTCTTGTTGCTGTACATCTTCACCAACATTATTGTTGTTAGTGTTATAGATTTGGGCCATTCTAATAGGTGTGGAGTGGTGTCTCATCATTTTAATTTTAATTTCCCTGATGACATGGTGTGGAGCATATTTTCTTTTTTTCTCTCCACATTTTAAAATTGATGCATTATAGTTGTATATAGTAGCGGGATTTTTTATTACATATTCATTCATGCACACAATATAACAACATAATTTTGCCAATACTATTTCCCAGTATATTTCCCCTCCCTCCTCTCTTCCTACTACCTGGCCCCTTTACTCTACTCTACTGATCTCTCTTTGATTTTCATGAGATCCTCCTTACCTTTCTTGTCCTTCTTCCTCTCTAGCTTCCACATATGA